TTAAATTAGCTACTTTTTAAAATATAATAACTTATAATAATAATATTAAAAATACCCTCGTTACTATTATTAAGAATAATATTAACTTTCTAATATTTACTTTAATATTTCTAATTCTAATTTATATATATATATATATTTATTACCTCGTTTTCTTTATTAAAATCGAAAACGCTTCCCTTACTATTACTATTATTATTACTATTTAATTATGTATTTTAAATATTCTTTTTTTTTATTTTGCTTTTGCTAATTACTTAAGTAGTTCTCAATATCGACTATATAGTATTAATATATAGTATTAATAAATACTCCTACTATCTCAATAGACTATTTTTTATAGATTTTCTAACTTTTTAACTTTCCCTCTTATAAAGTTTATAACTACGGATTAATTTTAAATATACTTTATTAAAATACTAAAACGTTAACTCGTCGACCCTTAGGGCTTTTTTAATAACTAAAAGTTATTTAATTTTATAAATATTATACTAAATAACCCCGAGTTATAAAAAGATTATTATAATAAATATTATATTTATAATATTAATTTATAAAGAATAAATAAATATATTATAATAAACGTAACCCCTTTTAATACTTTTTAAATATAATAAAATAATATAAATAAGTTTAAACTTAATAATATAATTAAGAGCTTCCCTTTGGGGTCCGGCCCGCCTTATTAGGGGCTATCTTTGCCTTTATAAATAAGCTAGTTTATTAAGGTTAATATCGAGTTTTTATTACGTATTATTTTAATAAGACTTTAAAACTAATTATAGCTAACTATAGCCGGCTATAGCTAATATTAATTATTAATACTAACTAAACTTAAGATATTAATAACCCCGCTATTATAATATATTAATCGCTTTTTTACTAACTAAATACTACCCCTTATTTTCTTTTTTTATCTTATTTAATAATAACCTCTCTTTATTATTATTCTTATTTAATATACTAACTTATACTCTTTTTAAGTTCTTAATTATATTATTAAGTCTAGGCTTATTTATACTTTATTATATTAAAAGGGTACCGATAAGGGCGACGTTTATTATAATATATTTATCCGTTTTCTATAAGTTAATATTACGGATATAATATTTATTAAAATAGTCTTTTTATAACTCGGGGTTATTTAGTATAATATTTATAGGATCGAACTTTTAATTATCAAGGAAGCCCTAAAGGTTAACGAGTTATTAATAACGTTTCGGTATTTTAATAAAATATGCTTAAAGTAGATAGTTAAATAGTAATAATAATAATAATAATAATAGCGTAATAGTAATAAGTAGTAAAAGAAGTAACGTTTTTAATTTTAATAAAAGAAATAAAGTAATAAATATATATATATATATAAGTTAAAGTTAAAAATATTAAAATAAATATCGTAAAGTTAATATTATTTAATAATAGTAACGAGGGTATTTTTAATATTACTATTATAAGTTATTATATTTAAAAGGGTAGCTAACTTAGTTAAGTATGCGGGCTTATAAGGTAGTAGCGTTAGGTACTTAATATTGCTATTAATAATCCGTAGTTATATTATAAACTTTATAAGAGGGAAAGTTAAAGAAAATCTAAAAAAATAGTTTATTAAAATAGTATAAGTATTTATTAATATCGTATATTAATATTATAGAAACGATATTAAGAACTGCCCGAGTAGCTAGCAAAGGTAGAATATAAAATTAAATAATTAAGAGCTTAAAAAAAGTATAAGCGAGCGTATTAAATAAGAATATTAATAAGGAGAGGTTATTATTAAATAAAATAAAGGGAGAAAGTTAGGGGTAGTATTTAGCTATTAAAAAGGTAATTAATATATTATAGCAGGATCGTCAGTATTTTAAGTTTAGTTAGTATTAATAATTAGTAATAGCTACGGCCGGTTATAATTAGTTATAAAGTTTTATTAAAATACGTAATAAAAATACTTAATATTAACTTTAATAAACTAGCTTATTTATAAAGGCGAAGATGGCCCCTAAGAAGGCGGACCGGACCCTAAAGGGATAAAGGGGTTTATATAATAGTTTTTTTCCGGCTTTATAAGTATAAAAGATCGACCTTAATAGGATTACGCTTTTAAAAAAAATTATATAATATAATATACTTTTTAATTCTATAATACGTATAGTATACCCTAAGTACGTACTTAATATAAGATAATAATTTTAATATAAAAACCACTATATAATTTAAAATAAATAAGCTACCCTTTTTATTTATATAGTAGTACCGGCCGGAAAGGTTAATAATAAAGGTCGGCTATAAGAATTAAAGGCGGCCCTTAATTATAAAAGTTCTAAACTTTAATAATAATATAAAAGTTTTTAAAAAAAGAGCTAAAAAGGCTAATATTTAACTACTTAGAGCTTATAAAGATTCTTTTTATTTTTATTATTTTTAATATTACTTAAAGCTTTATTAAAGCTAAATAAATTTATTAAATAAACTTATTAAATAAACTTATTAATATATAAATTACTACTCTATTAAAAATACTTTTTAATAGGTCCCCCCCTCTAGGATTTAATAAATTTTTAGACCCCCTCGATACCTTAACTATTATAATTAATATAAGTACGCTTAAAGAGTAGTATAATATTTTTTAATAATATAAAATCTAGCTAAATAATAATATTAACGCTATAAATAGCTAAGTTAATACGGATATTAAAATCCGGTATATAAATACTAATTTAAAAATTATACTCTATAGAATTAGAAATCTTTTTAATACGGGCTATATTATAAATATAAAACAATATATAAAGGGCTCTTTAATCTTTAATAAAAAAGAGTATATAATATAAGATTTAGTTATTTATATAAGCTAGTACTAAGAGGTTTTATATATATTAAAATAAATATAGCTCGCCCTCTAAACGGGTAATAAAAAGTCGAGAGCTATTATAATTAGTAATTAAATATAAAGCGCGATATACCCAGTTTTTCTTAATATATAATAAATAATACGAGTTAGCGTTTCAGCATTCCGAATGTTCTTAAGGTAGACGGTTCGATAGCGACAGCAATAGCGATAGTAATAGCGTAATAACGATAAATAGCGAGGGAAGTAGCGTTTTTCGATTTTAATAAAAGAAACGAAGTAACGAATATATATGTATATATATATTAAAGTTAAAAGCGTTAGGGTAAATATTAATAAAGTTAGTATTATTCTTAATAATAATAACGAGGGTATCTCTAATACTATATTATTATAAGCTACTATTACTTAGAGGGGTAATAAACTTAGTTAAGTACGTAATAAGCTTATAAAATAGTAGCATTAAGCGCTTAGTATTATTATTAATAATCTTAAAATTTATAAAAGGGAAAGTTAAAAAAGTAGAAAATCTAAAAAAATAGTCTATCGAAATAATAAGAGTATTTATTAATATTATATATTAATATTATATAATCGATATTAAGAACCGCCCGAGTAACTAATAAAGGTAGAATATAAAATTAAATAATATATAATACGGCCCCGGTAGATTACTCTATTGGGGGGATAGAGAGGTTTATATATAGTGGTTTTTTTCTAGCTTTATAAGCGTAAAAGATCGACCTTAACAGGATTACGTTTTCGAGGGAAATTATATAATATAGTATATTTTTTAATTATATAATATACGTAATATACCCTAAGTACGTACTTAACGTAATATAATAATTTCGATACGAAAACCGCTATATAATTCGGGATAAGTAAATTACTTTACTACTTATTAATAATAGGCTAAGTAATATACTTACGTAGCGGCGCTAGCTAAAAAGGTTAATAATAAAGGTCGGTTATAAAGGTTAGAAGCGGCCTTCTTTAATTAGAGAGGTTTTAAACTTTAATAGCGACGTAGAGGTTTTTAAAAAAAGGGTTAAAAAGGTTAATATTTAGCTACTTTATTATACTAAAGCTTATAAAGATTTTTTTTATCTTTATTATTTTTAATATTACCTAAAGCTCTATTTAAATTAAATAAATTTATTAAGTAAACTTATTAAACGAACCTATTAATATATAAACTACTACTACCTCGTTAGGAACCTACTCTTTTAGTATATAGTTAGTAACTAGCGGGCTAGGACTTTTTAAAAATACCCCTCAATAGGTCCCCCTTTCTAAGGCTCGATAGATTCTTAGGCCCCCTCGACGCCCTAATTATCGTAACTAACGTAAGTATACTTAAAGAGTAGTATAGTACTTTTTAATAATACGGAATTTAGCTAAATAATAATACGAACGCTATAAATAACCGGGCTAATATAAATATTAAGATTTAATATATTAACGCTAATTTAAAAATTATACTTTATAAAGTTAGAAATTTCTTTAATATAAGCTATATTATAAACGTAAGGGAATATATAAGGGGCCTCTTAATTTTTAATAAGAAAGAGTATATAATACGGTATTTAATTATTTACGTAGGTTAGTATTAAGAGGTTTTATATATATTAAAATAAGTATAGCTCGCTCTCTAAATAACTAAAACTTAGAGGATTGTATATAGTAAACGGTCGGGAGCTATTTTAATTAGTAATTAAGTATAGAGCGTAATATACTTAGTTTTCTTTAATACGTAATACACGGTACGGCCCTAGCGGATTACTCTATTAGGGGGATAAAGGGGTTTATAATACTTAAATAATTCTTTTCTATTTTACTTTTACTAGCTACTCGGGCGGTTCTTAGTATTATTTATATAGTATTAATATATAATATTGATAAATACTCCTACTATCTTAATAAACTAATTTTTTTTTTAGATTTTTTACCTTTTTAACTTTCTTTTTTATAGAGTTTATAACTATAAATTATTAATAATAATATTAAGTACTTAACGCTATTACTTTATAAACTACTTACTTAGCTAAGTTTATTACTATCTAAATAATAGTAGCTTATAATAATATAATATTAAAAATACCCTTATTATTATTATTAAAAATAATACTGACCTTTTTATTATTAATATCTACCTTAACGCGCCGTTAATAATTCGTGGTTGTGTTGTGAACTTTGTAGGAGGGGAAGTTGAGGAAAATCTAAAAAAATAGTCTACCGAGACAGTAGGAGTATCCATTGATACTGTGTATTAATACTGTGTAGACAATATCGAGAACCGCCCGAGCAGCCAGCAAAGGTAGAATAAAAAAAAAAACAAATCTACCTTAACGCTTTTAATTTTAATATATATATATATATTATCCCTTTGGGGTCCGGTCCGCTTTATTAGGGGCTATCTTTGCCTTTATTAGTAAGCTAGTTTATTAGGGTTAATATTAAGTTTTTATTACGTACTTAATAAGACTTTATAACTAACTATAACTAGTATTTTTATTATTATTATTATTATTATTATTATTATTATTATTATTATTATTATTATTATTATTATTATTATTATTATTATTATTATTATTATTATTATTATTATTATTATTATTATTATTATTATTATTATTATTAT